GCATTCCCTAGCAACATTTGCAGTCTGACCTACATTTGTTTTCATTTTATAGCTCTGCTCTGGCAAATTAGTGCCTGACTCCCATTATGATACATAGTCTCACATAGGGCTCTACACAAGTTCCATGATTACCCCAAAACATTCAAGACGCTTGAAGTGACTCTGAAGCTTACTCCCATTTTTAAGTTTTAGATTAAGTCCATGTACTCCAGATATCAGTTTTTAAATAGTTTAAGTTTTTATGAGTTTTAATAGCAAATTATTTCATTTATGTATTTACTTCAGGCTTGCATCTAGCTCTACAGCTGAAATAGCTACACCCAGCGACTCAGAGAAACAAAGTGGAAGCTGTACAAGCAGTACAAAGTGGCAGTACAAAGCAGTACAAACACACTTTGCTTTTTTTAGGTTTTTGTTGTGAGTTTTTTTTGTTTGGTTGGTTTTTGGTGTTTGTTTTTGTTTTTTGGTATGTGCTTGCATGTCTCTCTTCACTGAAACACTGTTACACAACCCTCAAGAAAACCCATTTGCAAGCGCTAATACACGCGTTAATTTGCTCTCAGAAGGCACGGACAGCTGCAGGAAGCCTACCAGCCACCCCCACTCACAGCTGACACCCCTGGTCCCATGTGCCCGCCACGATCAGCAGACACAGCACCGCGTTCCGAGCCACCCGAGCCCGTCGGCTCTGCGGGCACTGTATGTACTGCAACTGAAGTCACCGAGTGTCTTTTTTTTTTTTCCAGTCCGCAAAAAAAAGCCGCCGCAACATCCTTCTGGAATGGAAACGCGCGGTACTCACGTGGCCTTGGCGGAGTAGCGTGCCTCGGGGAACCGACAGAAGAAACATCTCCTTGTTTCTAGGAAAGCGTTAATCCCTTCGGCACCCACAGCAGGAGCGCGGAGAGCGACGGGGAAAGAGCACGCCTTCTCTCAGCGAGAGGGGTGGGGGCACGCGGGCGGTGAGGGGCACGCGGCCCCCAGGACAGGGGGGAGGGACCGCCTGGGCTGTGCTGGGGGGAGAGGCGCGCGCAGGAGTGCTGATAACGGACCGGGTTGATTGCAGGCACGGCCCAGCTGTTCCCTCACGAAACACGTGCTTAATCAGGTTTGTCTCTGCGGGCGAAATCTCCACGTTATTGGGCGGCGCCGGTCTTTGTACCAACTAATCAAAAGGCTCTTGCTGTTACTTTTCCGGGGCTGTCGGGTGCAGCTGGAGGAGCTGCTCTGGAAGCAGACTCCACCGGGCGCGTGGCCAGAACCGCTCCGTGCCTCGGGGAAAGGCAGCTTCGTTCGCCCTCAAATAACACGTAATAAAACAAGTGAATTCCCGGTTTCTTAGCTGCTGTGCTTTCCTCAGTTCCCCTGTGAGCTGCCCGATGGGAGAGCAGAGGCTTTTCATCCGTAGGGATGCGCCCAGGCTGACCTCCTTTGGAGAGCTCCGAACCCTCGGGCCGAGGCGGGAGGGAGGGAGGTGAGAGAAGCTTTTAGAACGCTACTGGCTTTGGCTCATGCTTGGCTGTTGTGGATCAGGTTTGCAGCAAAATGAAGGTTATAGGGGAAAAAAAAAAACAGATTAAGCGTTCATTGGATGAAAGTAGGTATTTTATCTGGGAGAAGATTTATTTAATTAAAATAATTTCTGCTCCTTCGTGCAGTAGACCAATGAGCTGGTTAAATAAGAGGAGAAAATGTGGAGTTCATTGTAAAACAGAGGAATATTATTGTAAATGTTAAGGTCCCTGCCCAGCACGTTTAAGTAGACAGACAGCATATTCCATTGCTGGGTATCTGAGAGCAACTTACAACAAAATGGAGGACTCTGAAAACACATGGATCACTTGCAGAGGATTGCCTGTTTTGTCTTGGTTGTCTGGTTGGTTTTTTGTTTGTTTGTTCTTTCTCCATTCTTGCCCATCCAAACCCCTCCTATAAAACATGGTATTTCTCTCCCTGTTTCTACTGGGAGGTGATTGATGATATGCAATATGTCTGCGTGAGATTTGCACCCTGTGCTAGCCAAAATAGTGCTTCCTTCTGCTAGCACAAAGCCTTGATGTCCACTATTCGTGTAGACCTTTGTGTTCTGAAGACAGTGATTGTAAAACATCCATCTGTTATGTTTTCTGCGTATGGAAACTCTTCTTGGAAAATAGAAAAAACAAACACTAAAATGACAAGCTCTTGCTGCTCTATGGTTGATCTTTCATGTTTCAACAAACACTGAGAGTAAGTATTTATTGTATTATGAAACAGGACAGTGATTGAGATGTACAGATGTATTGATGACAATGAAGACAAAACAAACTACTCAAGAGAAATGAATACTGATGAGAAAAAGAACATGAAAGGTAAGCTATACAGCACTGTAGAAGTTAAAGCTTTCAATTTGTCAATCAGAAGTAGTCATATATATATATATAGTAGATAACTGTCATTAGCAGAAGTATTTTCTCTGATTTTCTTTTTTCTGAAATTATGGTATGGAATCTTGAGGGATGCAAGCATTTCTAAACTTTGGTTGCACTTAGCTTACGTTTCTTTTATGCTATTATGGATTGGGTTCCTTCATATATAAAACAACACATTTAAATTGAGTTACTGATGGGACTTGGATGAAAGAATTAATCTTATATTTCTGTTACTGCATTAATAACTGCTCAGTATGTTAACAAGCAAGCACTAAAATTCCACAAGTCTTTGAAAACTGAGTTAGTGTTGCAATTTTACATGTCTTGGGAGTGTCATGCCTTATAACATAGGTAGAACATTATGAAAAACATCTTCTCTAGATGATATTTCCAATGAATTCTTTTAATAAAAATATTTTTCTTTTATTTTTTATTTTCTTCAATAGTTTATTTCTCTTTGGAGATGACTTAAAAAGGCAATCAAGTTATTTCTCTTTAGGAGGAATATTTAAAGTTACAGTTATCAGTCTAAAAACTTAAATACTTTCTGCAGCAAATAGACAACTCAATAGGACAGGAATTACACTAGTGATATAATGATGGAAGAATCAGTGTAATAGAGAAGTTCTACAAATGAAGGGAAGAGGATTACTCACCTGTATCAGAAGAGCTTAGAATCACACAGAAAAATTTTACTAAGAGAAGATTTCCAGAAAGAGATCCTTCCCTGGTGGCAGTCAGCCCTTTTAAATGAGGTCTAAGAGAGGTGCAACCAGGCTCCACCCCTTCCAGTCGCACAGGTGAATTGCCTTAACCTGTGCTCACATGTCTGACCAGGTCCTTTCCCCAGGTACTCAATCAGTTGTTCAGGTCATGACTCAGCAGTTCCCATACATCTTCTAATGAATGATTTATTTTAGACTCAAGAAGAAAGACTTAAATCTGATACTATTACTCTCAAAGTCCTGCTATGGGCAAGAAAGAAATACGTGTTACATGTAATTAATAAAATTTGAAATACTCTTACTGTAACTGAATTATTAACAGTATTCAGAGAATTGCTGTTAGTTTAGATCTAGTAATTTCAGAAAAATAAGTAAAAAATATTAGTATTACAGGACAGTTGCAATAGTAACAACGATATTGAGGTTGTTATGCACATACCTCACTACCTAACTATTTATCTGGTGATGTGCATACCCTTCAGCTGCTCCTCTGGATCCTGAGATGAACAGCTTCAAGAGAGCTGTGACAAGCAGGTCATAGCTAAGTTCTTCAGCAAGAGCTGTATTTTGTCTTCTGCATTTGCTAATGTGCTTTTTATACCTTGTTCACTTTTCATTGGACTGCATATCAAGCTGAATACATGAAAATTCCAAAAAATCCTTTATTGAGTTCAAAAACATTTTGGAGGACGTCAGTAGACATACAAGTTCCTAGATTGTTGTAACTCTTCATTAGATTATTTTTACATAAACTATTTCCTTTGAGTTTACTTTTAAAATATAATCCTTAGAAGATGATTTTTTGCTTTAGTAAAAGGAGATTAAGATTCATGGATTTTAGTTTATATTCCTAAGACTGCTGGTAAGCTGCATGGCTCTCTTGCTGTCTGTGTCTGTACATGTAAAAGCAACTAATTCTGTGTTAGTGGAAAGATGTGTTAGTGTAGATAGGTCACTCTGAAAGTAATGCCTCCTATTTTGTTTACATAGAAACTACAATAGATACAATGAGCACAATGACATTATTTGATTGAGCAAATTATCAACTACAAAACACTGGTTTTCAACATAGTTGCCACCATTAGCTGTGTATTTTTGATAGTGATGAACAAGTGTCTGAATGCCGTGCTCATAGAGATCTGCACCAGAGGAGGCGACCTGCTATCATAGTTGTCATTCCTGAAACACACCACCCACCATCTCACTGTGCTCTCATCCACTGTTTGGTCTCTGTAAGCATTCAGCAAGCATTGATAAATATCAGTAGGTACAATTTTTTCCACATGATAGGAATTAGATTCCATACTGTTGCTTCATACACACTTCCATGTCAGACGCCATTTTGTCAGACTGTCTCTCTGCTGCCATCTGTCACACAGCAACAAAATGTAATGGAATATTGGTAGGAACACGCATCCTCTACTACCATATCACCAATATCCACCTCTGATGTCATGGGCCAACATAAATAGGAAACACTGCTTTCAGAATAGCCCTGTACTTTCATTTTCTTGTTTCTTGATTTATTTTAAATGAAAAATTAGTATTATCTTTATAGGAGGCTTGAAATTGCTAGCCACTTGTACAATGCAAGTACTCTTCCCTCCAATTTCAATAGATCTAAAAAAATAAAAGAAAAAAATGGTGGCCACATCAAATTGTCTGCTTTTTTTTTTTTTTTTTTTTTTTTTTTTTTTTTTTTCTAGTTGCAAAAATTTTGAATACTGTCAGTGTGTGGAAACTGCTGAGTCACAGGCTGAACCACTGATTGAGCACCTGGGGAAAAGACCTGGTCAGCTCTGAGAGCACAGGTGAAAGCAATTTACCTGTGTGACTGGAAGGGGTGGAGCCTGGCTGCACCTCTCTTAGGTCTCATTTAAGGGCTGACTCTCCATAGGCAAGCTTTTTTTTCTGGAGATTCTTTTTGGTGAAGCTTTCTTTTGTAAACCAACCCTAGACTCTTCTGATACAGGTGAGCATCCTTTTCTTTTCATTTATAAAATTTTTTTGTTATGCTGCTTTTTCTGCTGTTGCACCTTTGTGTGATGATATCAATCTGGCTAATTGCTACATAATGTTGTTAAAATTCTTAGAATTCATGCACTGTATTTCTCAAAGATCCTCGAGAAAGTATTTGTTGGAAGCATTTCAATTTTAGTTTCTGTTTTCTTTTATTGTTTTTGTTATAGTACGCTTTTTCATGGGTTTTTCATCTCAGTTGTGCTGAAACTTGTATGACTTAAGTAAGAATAAAGACTTCCTGTGGACTTAAGAGCTGTTTTTTGCAACATTAATATGTATGTGTTCTATAGCTACTTACTAAGAAATTCCTTCTTACGTTAGCAAATTTGGAAAATACAGCTGATGAGGTAAAATGTATGGTTGTTGCCTTAGTTCTCTTTTATGTAATCCCTTATATTCTTCACCTGCCTCCCTTTCTGGAATTTAACTTTGACACAAGATACTGGTTTATAGCAGTATTTGGCAAAACAGTGTTAAGAGTAAAGTTAAGTGTAAGAGTTAACTTAAGAGTTAAGTTAAGTGTAAAGGAGATGTAATAAGAGACAAATAATTTGTGCTTATTCTTTTTATGCGTCTATCTGGTATTGCTTTTCTCATGTAAGTTGTTTGAGTGTCTCTCTAAGATGAAGGGTCGTGACAAATACTTAAAAATTAGATCTTACTCACCTGCCTTTAACATACAATTTGTTCATCAATCTTTCCAACAATACATGAAGGAATTAAATAATGTTTATATTATACACCTAGTTACAATACATTTATCATTCAGTTGGTCATTTGAATACGTGGTTCTATGGTAGAATGACCTATTTTTAACAGACTTAGATCAGATTATAAACCAACCTCTTGACTTGTTTCTTGGTTCGGTTAAGGAGTTTATAGAGTGGTTTTATTCTGTGAAGTCTTAAGTATTTGCAATCATCTCTTGTTTAGCAATATTAGAATATTCTCATGTTGTAACACAAGAAAGACAGAGCTGTTGGAGCAGGCCCAGAGAGGAAGGCCACAAGGGTGATCAGAGGGTGGGGCCACCTCTCCTGTGAAGATGGGCTGAGGGAGCTGGGCTTGTTTGACCTGCAGAAGAGAAGGCTCTGGGAAGACCTTAAGGTAACCTTTCAATACTTAAAAGGAGTTTATATCTTATATCTGTATTACTTAGAAGGAGCAAGGATACAGGTATTTTACATAATCTGATAGCAATAGGACGAGGGTGAATGGTTTTAAACTAAAAGAGGGGACGTTTAGACAGTTGTCCAGAGAAGCTATGGATGCCTGAACTCTGGAAGCCAATCTTATCTAGTGTTTGGCAAATGCTGTCCATGGCAGTAGGGTTGGAACAAGATGATCTTTGTGTTCCTTTCCAATCCAAGACATTCTATGACTTGACCTAGATCCATTACAATTTGTATAACAGAGTAAGAACTTTCCATTAGTCTTCTGTGATTTCTGTGCAAATTTTCCTTTTAACATATAGGTCAATGATGTGAAAACTCTTAACATTCAGTTTTGCATCTTGGATGAAAACCCACAATGATCTAATACCTTGTGCTGAAGTTAAATTACATTAATTTTTCAGTGTTATTCAATACCCACCAATGAATCTACAGTAGTATGTTATAAGTAATGGACTCTGATCCTCTCTTTTCAGTAATTACTGACAGTTTAAAATTCAGAACTAGCTACATACGCAGCAATGAATGCAGTTTTTGCTAAGCAGATTATAAATAGCAGCTTGTATTTTGTGCAAGAATAGGGAAATAGAAGCACCAAGAGATGAACAAAGTCAATGTTTTGAAGGACAAATAAGCAGTTAAGTAGATGAAAAACATGTCAGGCATGCACATTCAGAGTTGCTGGAGTGAACAGGTGCCTAACACACACCTCTGAAATCCTGCGGAGTAGTAAAGAGTATTTTTTGTAATAACGTAAAAGATTTCTCAGTGGACTTGATTCTTGTGTGTAAGTAAAGGACATGAAAATCTTTTTGATTCTACCAAACTATCATGCTGTATTCTATATTTCCATAATTAACAGTTTTATAATTTCAAAATGGCTGTGTGCCAATTTGATTTTAAGGACTCAGTTCTTTCTTCACTAGGTTTAGAAAGTAAATGAATGTATTAAATATTTGTTTTCACTACTTCTAAGTACTTTACTTAAATGAACTTAGAGAAAGTAATCTACAGTCATTTCAGATTTTATGGAGGTACAGCTGTTAGACTTGTTAACAGTCTGCCTCATTTTGCATCAGTGAATTAGTGCATTTTTCCATCCTTGTGTGTGAAAAATATGGCATGTCTATACCAGTGGTTCAAATGAGTCTATGATTATTCTGTCTGCCTGGGTGCACGCAACCAGATGGACCAAATGGTTTCACTAGATCAATATACCCTTGACTCTTAGATCTTGGAAATAATCTGCTTAGAAAATATGGATGCAGTATGCCAATACACTCGGTTTTGTGTGCAATACCTCTAAAATTCAGGAACAGCAGCAGAAGTTCAATAATAGACAAGAAAGAAACACCATAAAAAAGAAATAAGCAAATTCTGGAAGTATATGTAGCTTTCATTCATGATTGTTAATCATTCTGTTATGTAAGTTGTATTACATTTGTGGCCCTAAGCCAAGTCATGCTTGTTGCTGTCCATATTGTTTGATGTTACACTGACTGTGAAGATAAATTGTGCATGTAGTGCTAAATCCTACTGATGCATTCCTGTATTCCTTCTTCTGAAAATTTCTTTTTTGACTATATTCTGCAGGCTCCATTTGTTATAGTGATTGGAGAAATGCTTGATAGCCAAATTGGCACTTTCTTTGGATGGTGTCTGACTAACTTTTAGGGAATGCCTATCTGATCTGAAAGACATCTCAGCAATCTTCCTTGTGTGCCTTTCTGTCATGTGACATTCTCACAGTCAGTTGAAAGGACAGTTTTTTATCCAGCTTGTCTAATTCCATGCAGGGCTTCCTTGTAGGCAACATTTTTTTCTTCTTGTAGTACCTCGCCTCTATGTAATGTGCTTACTGGAATTACTGTCTTTAGCATCCTACTTCTGCTATGAGTAGGACTATTTTTGTCCTGGGGCAAATTTCTAGAGTATCAACTTGCAAATGTGCAGTTAAAAGATGAAGTTCTGTTGAAATATACGTGAATGACTTCTTTGCTTATCTAAGAGCTGCTGACACAATTTTTGGGATGTGTTCCCCATTTTTTCTAAATCGGGGAAGCTTGCTCAGGGATAACCCTGATGCACCCAGGCAAGCTGACTTCAGTGAGAACAAACCTTGGAAGTCTTTTTCAACCTTGGTGATTATATGGTTCTAAATTACAGTAAGAGAATGTGTTTTGTCACTCTGAGTATGCTTTGATATGTCACAAGTCATTTTTAGGTATGTGGCCTTGACATGTTTGTGCTTTGTGCTGCAGAGTGATTCCAGATAAGTCTGATATTACTCTGGATGGTGTAAAATTCTGTTTTCAGGGACCTGAGTTGAATGTTATTCTGTCAACTTGAATGTCTTGCATCAAGATTTTACCATTTTAACATTTCTACATACTTAAAATCTTCTGTGTGGAAGCAGCAAATGACCAATTCTTCACTACAGTCTTATTTAAGTACCTAGATGACCATGAACTCAAAGGGAATAACTAGCTTGTAGAAGTAAATGGGATCTCTTTCATTTCATCCTTATGATCCATTAGGAACTTTTCAACTTTACAAAGTACAAGGTGTTGGGCGCGTTTCTGCATGAGAGAACATTTCCTGAAGCCAAATAGTTTCCAGCACTTCCAGTTTGGCTTTTAATCTTGAACCAAACTTACCTCGGGGAGGGGGAGGAGGGAGGTGAAGAAAGTATTATATGACAGTTATTGCCAACTTTCTTCCCATCCACATCTGTCTGATGGTCCTAGTGTTTGTGGTTGTTTTCTTCCCTACCTTCACATCTCCAGCCCCCAAAATAGTCAATATATTATAATTTTATGAAGATAGTAAAGGTACAATCTGTTCATCAAAATGTGTTTAAAGGTAGATATACCACAGTCTCATATTACTATCAATATATTTACTGAGTGATTAGACTATTGTAATTGTTCTTCTTCTAAGAACATTCTTTCATATGAAAGGTTCCCTTTTGTACTGCAACAAATACAGGAATCCCAGCTTTACCTTTCAATACGTTTTGACCAACTTCAGTGTGGTTTGTTTTGCTTTTCATTCTCTTCAGTCTGTGTCCTTACACAACAGTTTCTCAGTCTCTGAGATGATAGTTATCTGGTAAGTTGTGTTTCTCACTTTGGAGATTGTCCACTTCTAACTTGAAAAATGTGAATCATGATTATATTTGGTCATACCTTTATTATATGCTTTAAAATGTAGTTGTCATTTCTTGATAATTATTTGACATCTGACTGTTCTGATATGTAAAAATAAGGTGAATAAAAAATACATTTAATCTTCAATTTAACACTTGGTATTAATAGACAATTTGAACTGCTCACAGATGGTTGTATCCTTGCAACCATCTTGAAATTTAGCCTTATCAGTTAAATCCTGTTGTAGTGCAGGGATACTATGCAGAGTGTTTATCCATGATTATCAAAGCAAGACTTCAGTGTGTTATTCCCTCTGCAAATACAGTGTAGTATGTTGATCAACAAATTATGTTAGAAGTATTGCAAAAAAGATGAAATGTGTTTTTTTTCACAATCTGGCCTACTGAATATAGTGTTCAAAGCCACAGGTATCTAAAGCATGATGATAGGAAGTCACATCAGGACATAAAACTTAGGTGAGAATTTTTATGTCCCATTATAGACTAGAAGTGGTTTAAGTTTAGTTCTGTAAGTAAAGGCTGAAGTAATTTATATGTTGTGGGCTCATAACTTACTTCATAATTCCTTCCTTTTTGAAGACAGGTTATACTTAGCCTGTGTCTTCTGTTTAGTAGAAATATTTATTACAAGGAATGCTCATGTGTTACTTCCAAAAGCATCATGTACTGAAATCAGGAGCAATCTCATTCCTACAGGAGATATTTTAGTGTACATAATGCATAAACATCTTGAAAATAAAAATCTCTTTTCTTGGAATGTGTAAAATTTTTGTGAGCACTTAGGAAAAAGTAGTATCAAAAGGCTGAGAACTATCTGATACTTGTAACTGGTGATGGTCTAGAATAACTTCCCTTGAGGCAAATGACAGACTAAGCTGGGTTTGAGATGGATCGTAAGTAGAAAGAGGATCATATGACATCTGTTCATGTGACAGCCAAAGGGCTGCAGTTATAAGTGGTATTTTTTAGACGTATCTATCTCAAGCTTCCACTTATAAAGGTGAAGTTTCCAGTGCTGATGAAGGGGCAGTGAACTGTGGATTTGGAGGAGTACATGGATTAGTTCTTGAAAAGCTGCTGGTAAGTATAAATGTGTTAAGTTTTGCTGAAGTGATGTGACTGATGCATCTGAAGGGATGAATTTAGATATTCTTGCTTTATGTCAGATTCCTTACGGGAATTTTGAAGTGTGACTTCTTGTTTTTCTAACTTGCACATGCTAAGTTGACTCATAGGTTTGCTTTTGGATTTCCCTTTTCTTTGGATCCTGGGAGATCCTGGGTCCTGCTGCTCTTCATCTTACTACTGCTAAATATAAATATATGCCATATATAAATGGTATGAATAAATTTTATATGGATTTCATATATTTTATTTATATAATTTTATATGGAGTGTATGTGTTATCTATAAAATTAAAATTTTGTTATAAATACATTTTTTACGGCATGGAAACAAAATATTTTTGTTAACAAGTATTTTGACTTTTTTTTTTTTTTTTTTACTATTCTCTTTTTATTCTGTCTTCCTTGATTCTGACAAGTTCATGGAGCTATAGAAAGGAAGAAGCTTTTTTTTCCCTTTATGCTAGATATCTGTAGTAGAAACGTGAAGTCACAGCTTGAAACAGTGATTGACCACCTGGTGGGAAGGCAGGGCCAATCCAGGGAGCTCAGATGCATGCAATGCCCCTGAGTGACAGGAATGGGTAAAGCCAGGATCCATCCCTTCCCAGACCTCATTTAAAGTTGGCAATGGAGCTGAGGGTATCTTGCTGGAGATCCTTGCCTACCTGAGGCCTTCCAAGGGTAAGCGAGTTTCCTCCTTTGTTTCTGCATCCACAGCTGCTGCATTTGGTTTTGTCCTCACTTGCTGTAGCCTAGAGCTTTGCCACCCTGCTATTATTAGTGTACTTTCCATCACATTATAGCATTACAACATCTAATAGAGGAAGCATTGGTGCAATTTTCAGTGTTCTTGCACTGCTGAAACAGTGTCAAACTCTTTCTTTGCAGTACCTTTAGAAATCTTAAACAGCACCAGGTAAGAATTGGAGCAGTTCCTACATTACAGAAGAAAAAGCACCAAGTAATCTCTATATACTAAGAAACCTGTTAATTTTTAGCAATTACAGAGGAATAGGGGCTTGCCATAAACAAATCAGTTGTATATCAATATGATAATTGTCTGTGTTTGTATATTTTATATGCAATTCAAAAATAATCAGCAAGTGAAAGTTAAATTTACTTTATTAAAAAAGTTAGTGACCAATCAGCTGATCATGCAGTTGTTGTGACTGCTTGGATGAAATCTGCTGGATCAATGCTAAGATTGCCAAACTTCCAACTGCTTAATGTTTGAAGTAGAATAAGTAGTATTTCCAATTCTAGTACCACTACTACATATTAGTCATTGTCTTGCAATAGTTGTAATTGATTTGCTGTGTTGCCTTACGTTTAGGCTTTTGTTTGTTTGTAGAGGTGGCACTGGCTGAGTGTGACAGACATCAGAGACAAGTTACAAGAATATTAAATTTGGTAGAGACAATTTTAAGATGTTAAATGTCTGAACCATTTTGAATGGACTTTGTTTTGCTGAGATTACATCAATGTTTGTTGGAAGTAAAATGTATCTTAGTGATATTCAGTAAATAAAGCTGCTTTTGTTCTAAGCTAAATGCTTTTATGAGCATTGGAGCCAAACTCACCAACTTATGAAGGGGCAGCACTGGTTCATGTGATTAAATCATGCAAGGTTATCTGTATTTTTCTTACAAATGTATCTGCAGCTGAATGTGATTTCTTATTCAAAAACTGAGAAATAAAGGAAAAAGACATTTGAAATAATGGTTTTCATAATTAATGCTATTTTTGACTTAGTACTAGTTACCTGTGGCCTGGCCTCAACTCCATCACTTTCAAAACTGAGGTTTTTTTCTCTGCACCATGCAGGGAAAGGTGGTAGTTCATCTTTAGGAAACGTGTGGATTTGTATCACATCTAATTGTGAATTAGATGTGATAAGTTCCTCTTGTACTTTCTTTTTATCTGTGCCACTTAACTTGCTATGACCTTAGGCAGGTAACTTCACCTTTCGCATTCCTTGACTTTGTCAAGAATGAAAAGGATTCTCCCAAGGTGATAAATAGTTTAATTAACTTCTGTAAAGTACCATCAGTTTACCAAGAATAGTTTGAATTAAGTTTGCTTATTTTCAGAGAGGTTTCAAGAGGCATTGCATGGATCTGAATTTACTTGCTAATTATTTTCATACAGCTCTGCTGAGACCCACAGTTCAGGAAAAACACAGCTGTTTTCTCTTCCTTTGTTTGTCCATGTGTTACATGTTTTCCCTATATTTTCTAGCCCTGAGGAATTCTTAAATGGTGTCTTATTCTACGTAATTGTTGCTGGCACTAAACTGCATTTTGTTAAAATGTATTTTGTGTGTGATATATGTAGGAAGAATGTTGTTGATTTTGATGCACTCTTATTTATTATACTGAGCTGGTTAATTTTTTGTAATAACAGAAGCATAGGTTTATTGAACTTGTTGAGTAAGCTTTTATTACTGTTTTAGTGTCTTACCATTTTCTCTCTTGAGTTTTAATTATGAAATTTTAGAATACGCATCAAGTAGGAAAAGTGCTGTCATATCAGTCTGTAGTTTTATGTGCTTAATGAGATATGGAAACCAGGAAACTCCATCAGTGTTCTGTGCTGTTTTTCATTTAGCCTTTATTTTGAATGTAACCTTTCAGTATATTATGATTGTCCTTTTAGTTTAATTTTTTAAAATATCTATTTTAGATATGCAAACAATCATTTACCATTAATGTTATTTTAATCATGTAAATGCTCTACAAATATATTTGTAGAGAGCTTTTCTGACTTTTCTGCATTGTTTTTGGAGACTGGTCAATTTTTTACCTCATTCTCAAGATTTGTGAACATGCATTTGCTTTGTTAAGATGTTGGCTGTCCTCCTGTCCAAAATCAGGTCATATAATAGCAAGAGTTGGCAATACTGCGAAGTGTGATACATTCTGAAGTTGGAAAATTTCAAGGTTTTCCTCTCTCCTTTTAAGATCTGTTTATTAATTGGATAGAAAGCATTTTGGCCAGAGTTCATCATTTGGGTGAACTAAACAATTAGATGTGGGGTCTCAGTGCTGATTGTGTATTTTCAAATGGCAAGTTTGCATTTCTCATTAAGATAAAAACTTGGATGTTAATGCATGACAAATGGATTGCTAATACAAGCAGTAATAAATCAGTAATAGCTGATAGTGGATCAAGAATTTATGGGGGAAATAATGCAGTGCAATATAATTCACATTTCAGAGAAAAAAGCTGTCTGATCAAATGTATTTGTGTATATATGTAGGTAGGTCCATCCAGTCTATTTCATATATGTCAGTATATTTGCATCTATGTGGCTCATGTTAATAGAGCAATTACTTTCTGTTATCTGTATGAAGATACAGAGTAGTCCAGGTCTTTAAATATTACTTGACCTGTATTCTTATCTTCCTTCTGGGGATCTAAAAGTATTTGACAGTTTTCAAGATTCTTGTGTTCTGAGTACATTCAGGTACTGCCAAGGCACCTAACAGCACTTTGGATGATTTAATTACTTTTCCTGCTGCTCAGTTATGCCAGCATTGTAATTGATCTTGTTAGAGATTCCATAAAATTTCCCAAATCATGCTCAGTATAACTGAGCAGAATCTCTTCTGAGCTTTTGGTATAAAAATACTGGCATGGGGACAGAGTATCACTATCTAAAAAGTAGTTCTTATGGAATTCCTCAGATCATGAATTCAATGGACATAATGTTCATATCGCTTCTCCAAGGTGTGGCTTAAAGAACAAGACAAGGGGTATTTAATGTGGGAGAACTGAATAATACAGAGCACTTGGCATGTATAATAGGCTTCCCCTATTTAAAAAGAAAAAAAATAAAACACAATCTGAATACTATTCCATAAAATGTATTCAGATTTTAAACAAAAAAATCTAATTCTTTTAGTTAAAAAATGACTGTTCAAGTGTGAGTAGATAACTGTTGAATTATAGGCCTGAATTTTGTTAAGAATTCAAAGCGTTAAGTTGAAAATATGAAATCTTATATCCCTGTTATGCTTAAGTACAATGCTTCTGAGAATATCCATGCGGATGTGGAGTTGTTTTCCTCTATTGATGAAATATATTTTCTGGTAATCCTCCAAATAAGGGAGCAGCATGAACAGGAGGCTGCTACTCATTCCCTTGTTCCATGAAGGTCATCTCTCACTTGAGCTTTGTTTTCAGTTGAACTGGAGCTGAAACACGTGATGATCATACCTAGAGATCCATTTACAACTTGGGTTATTTGTTGGAGTTTTACAGTATGTAAAAGTTCCTGAAATGTTTAAGCAGCAGCTACTGTTACTTACTGTCCATCAAGTCAGAGATTATGAAATGTAAAGGTAGCTGAAAATAAGGGTTGTTTCATCTATAAGTGAAGCTTAGTTTGCATACAAGATGAAGTGAATAGCTTTCAACTCTAATTAGTGCATGAACTTAGCAAATAGATGACTTCCAACCTCTAAAGTTCCTTTGAAAGCTGAATTGTTGAAAGTTCCTTTCTGAATATATTTCTAAGTGAGCTCTTGCTGCTTGCTTCATACAAACCTACAGTTCTATATAGGGTAAATGAAGCAGAAGGCAGGTTGCATTTATCCTATGACAAGATGAAAAGCTGATTACGCAGATGAGTGCAGATGAAGTGGAAACCTCTCAGAGATTAGGTTTTGCTCTCAGTGTGCCCTACATTGCAGCCTGACATAATCGTTTCATGTTGGTTGCTTTCTGTGAGCTCTGTCTTGATGTAGACCACATGCTTGCAAAAAGGGAAGTTACTAACAAAGTAATTGTTAATCTCTGTCTGAAAATACTAGACACCAGAAGGGAAAGCTTTACTTTCAGCCAGGGTTTTTTCCATTCCTTAGGCTGCAAACATATCTTGATATGCAGAATACAAGCTCACATTTTCTTATGGGCAATCAGCTGATGGTCAGAAAAGTTCAGATAAAAAGGAGAAAACTAAATTGAAGATTTCAAATGGATTCATTTTGGTGCTGCAATTGACCTTAAGTGACAAAGGTCTCAAGACACCCAGAGTGTTAAATAGAGGTGGATAATTTCTCCACCTCCACCTTAATTTAATAAAATTGAATAACACATTTTATAAAAGGTGCAGTGAGCTAAGTAAAGCATTTATTAAAATGTACTGCGTATATTAACGAGCTCAGGAGAACCAAGTGGGACACTTTTAGCTGGCTCTAAGTTACTGTGCGAAGAGGTATTTCTTGTGATGCTTCAGTATTGGAAATGATCTTAAACCCCAATGGGAATCAGAATGCACATTTTTTTTCCAGTTGTGTCTGTTAGAAGTACTTTAACCTCTGCTATCTCTGAATTCTCAACTTTCATCTGAGGATATAGTTGCAAAAGCCATTCTTCTCTGGTGCCCTCGAGGATGGAATACTTTATATTGACAGAGCAAGTAGGATTCCTAGTAGAAAAGTAATCTTCAGACAAACAAATTAAGCTTTTTTCCTTGCTCCATCTAAAATTCTGCACCTTAAAATAGCTAGCTGCTTCATGAAGTAGTCAGGAAACCAGGCACTGGGTGCTTTGCATCTTCAAGCAGTGCTTGGAAGACAGGTCAGGAATTCCGGTTTGCTCATGTTGCAGTTGGAACAATGTCTGGTTTGCTTAAGGGTTGTGTTGCAATTACTGGAGTAAGTGGTAGCTACATGATTGGCAGACACGCTGTTCCAGAAGAACAGATTCGATGGATTATGCAAAGGCACTTTATGACAAAAATAACCGGGCTGAGGCTTCGATGTGTTAGCTCTCCGGGAAACCCAGACTTCGCCGGAGAATCTTTCTGACACATCAAGCAGCAAGACGAGACGGCGCAGCAACGGCGCTTTGCGAAGAGCCAGGAACCAGCCCCCGGCCCGCAGCAGCTGTTCCGCAGAAGGCAGGTCCTTGCTGAGAACGGGATCTCACCGGGCGCCTGCCGGGGGCTCCAGTGCGGGGCCGCGTCCGCGGGAGGCTGACGTGAGCGGCGGCGGCTGCGGTCAGCGGGGGGCGGAGGAGGAGGCGGCCGCCGAAGATAGCGCAGGGCAGCCGCAGCCGTGCCGCTGCTCGGCAGCTCTGTCCTCCCCGCACCCGCGGCATCCGAACAAGGCACCGCTCCGCGCAAGGTAATAATGCTCTTTCGTTTGCTTCTCGCTAGCGCTTTGCTCGGTTCCCGACAGTGCCTTCCTCTGAGGTCATCGAACGGATTAAAAAATAAAAGCACTAACTCGAGACTGCAGGGAACGGAGCTACTCAGTCTTCATTAGCATCTCTTGCTTGCCTGCTCTCTGCTTATTTATAAATAGCTTTTGCAGTTGCTCAAAAGCTGGGACCTCAGTTTGCCTCGCAGTCATAAGAAAGTCCACTGTTTTACTCGCTGTCCCTTTCTTGTCAGCACTATGGATGTAAGTTGTTCCTAGGTTACTCCCTTCACCCCAAAATAACTCCCAAATTCACATGCTAGCTTTCTTCTAGTCTAATGCGTGGAGTAGATTCAATGAGGTGGGAACTATGGATTACTCTAACTGCAGTGTTTGTTGGATGCAAATCCTTTCATGCGCTCAGCAAGGCAGATGTGTGGGAAACACGTGATTAATATGTAGAACATTTGGACAATCTGTTACTGTATATGTTAAAGCTTATGGGAGTCAATGCTGCAGATGAGGCTACTCAACTCTTACCCTGAATTAGAATGCATTTGTATAATGATACTTGCAAATACCTTTTAAGTGTTGGGAAAGTGATTTTCTGCATAAACACTTCTCTTAATGAGGGATATCAGTACACACAGACCACTTAAAACATGTTCTCCATCTATTTCTGAAGCAAAAATTAATCATATCTTCCAGTTGACAGATTGGGGCTGGGAATTATCTTGGTTGTCCCACAGTCTTGTCTGGTGGTCTTTCATTCCTCAAGTGTAATCATAACAGAGCAGCAGTAATCATAATGGATCCTTTCCTTGAATCCATGGCTTGGTTGGAACTTCCTAGGAAATTAACATAAAAAGTTACTGAGAAATGATAGAGAAATTTTGGTTAAATTTCTAGTTCTAGTTACTCATTTTCTTCCATTCTTTCCATTTTTCATGACAGTTTAAAAGTAATTTTTCTTGTAGAAATGTCTGTCTTGTGCAAATGTTATCAGTAAACTAACTATGCATTTAAAGGTACTTCTGAAAGTACGCAGGCAATGTTTCTATGAGCATAATGTAATGTGTACTTACACATAACATTTTGAAACATTCACCTTTCAGGTGAAACAGAAACAGTTCAGCCACTTTGGATTAAACGGAGAGTGAAGAGGAAGAAGTGCTTTTTATGTTTTTAAATGAACTGTCAACCTGTAACAACATAAATTTCATTTGAATGACTGCAGACAAAGTGTCTAGGGACAGAGAGTTGCACTTTGCTATGAAATCAAACAATCTTGTGAAGTGTTTTTCCAATGATGGAAACTGGATTTTATTTGACTGGAACCTATCTCACTGAGGATAAGTGTCATGTACATGCACACTCCTTTGTATTTTTTGTGTACAGATTATACAGATACATAGGCATAGGTGACAATCGTGTAGTAAGTAGTGAGCAACAAGTGAATGTTTCCTTATTATTTTGCAAGTTTCTAGGATAAGGCTAAAGAAAAAGTACGGATAAAAGTTAATTACTCTGCAGAGGTAATTTTCTTGCATAGACAGGTATTTCCAGAAATCTGATTTTTTAATTTTTTTTTCTCTTTAGCTTCTTAAGGACTACTTCAAAGTTGGTAAATAATTAGAATTAATAGTAGAGATCTCTATTTTCATTTTTTTCCTTGCTGGAATATACTGGTTTCCTTGGTCAATGCTTGTTCACTTAAATTGTCAATGATATTCAGGTAAGAAAATAGCTTACTGCTAGTAGTTGGTAAAATGGAGAAAATCTCTTTGAGAAAGCTTAGCAATTAGAAGCCAGGGAAAACTTTCCTTTTCTGGTGGCTTTGTGCAAGTGCCAAACAGAATGCTGAGAAATGGTATCTATACAGAATAAATGTTAATGTAATGAACATCAGCTTCATACAGACATTTCTCAGGATATAAATATACAGCAAAGGGCCAGCTTTGCCTGGGATATGAGGCTGTTTTTTTTGTTTGTTTTCAAAAGGACTAATATCCCCCCTTTTCTCTGTCTGGAAAAGAGTAATAGTGGAAATACTGCATTCTTTTAATGATCAAGTACAAAAAAAATCAGTCCTTGCATTTCTTTTTGACGTATAGATAGAACATTTGGGCACTGAAAGATCTGTTTAACTCAACTGTCCTCAATAATAGTGGAACCTGTAGACCCTAGAGCTGTCTGTAACAGGGAAGCTGCTTCATATTATGAAGAAAGTGTTTTGTTTTTTCCCCTTTCTGCCCTAGGCGTATAAAGTCTTATGTAATTTCATAACATCTTTTACAGATTAATACTTGTGACTGTGTGCCGCCACAGATATTATCAGAGTTACAACACAGTGAATGTCTTCACTTCTGTTCGTGAAGAGGGAAGGAAAGTGCATAAAATGTGTAGCATTAATTGTCATCTATGTGACTCATTTCTTCACATAGATAATGCCACTTTTTTTCCTGTCCATGGAGGGCTGAACCTCTGTTCATTAGTTTGGACATGCAGCTTGATCTTAAATCCAATTTCATTTCATCGTAACAGAAAGTTAAACTTCTAATGTATCTTTAGAAGACCATGTATATTTTTTTTCTGCTAGACTCTTAGAAAATTATGTAAGAGCTGTGAAGTCTTAATATTGAAGTACATCTGTCCTTCATTTGAAGTCATGCAATCTTACAAATGATTTAAAATGGTATTAGTGAAATCTTGAAGGCAAATGTGTATTTAATCCACCAAGATCTAAGCCAACATTTTTCTCAGTCATTCTTTTTATCCTGCTGCATTTTTTTTTTTAGCTCATTACACTGAAATACTGTCTTTGTGTTTTAATTTTTTAGTGGCTTGGTTTTTTTTTTTTTTTTTTTTTTTTTTGCCACAAAGCTTGTCTTGTTGCTGTAGATAGAACCATTTGAAGTATCTATGCAAATAATTTAATCTCTTTAATATCTTTAAAAGTACTTTTATAACTCATTTTTATTTTTAGAAGTGCATTTGCCTGTTGATAGACTTGCTGAATGTAATAAAAGTTCCATGTGAGTGGTCTCTGTTATAGTAATAGTACATAGACCAGACAAGCCACAGTGATGGTCAAGTAGTTAATCATGTTCAGTACCATTATTTAATGTTAATTGATTTTTTTACCTAGAACAGAACAGATACAATAGTCTGTTGCTACAACAGACTGATAGTTATACCTCATATGCGTATTTAGTTAGCCTTTAAAAAACCCATGATCTATCCTCTCAGGTGGATAACAATTGAGTTTATCATTTTTTGTTGATTGTAGTTGTGTATGTCAAAACCATTCACCTGTGAAATGCCGCCAGTGAAAAGATGAAGAAAAAGGCAGCTATAATTCTCAGCTTTAACACTTCAAAGAAATGGTCATTGCAAGTCATTACAGCCTGTTTGATCCCAGTACAGCCACGGTTTTCAAAACTTGAATAATGGTTATTTTTGTACAACCCAAAGTTCTTTAAGGCTAAAGTACTTCCAAGATCACTGAAGTTTGGGCATGGGTTTAAAACAGTTCTGAGTTTATTCTCAAAGTTTGCGTAATTTTATGAAATATTTTAGGATGTGTATAGTTAAATAGGCTTATAACTTGCCAGATAAATGCTTCAGAAGATTAGTGTAAGAATTTTGCATGGGACAGCATCTTTCATTGTAGAAACAAAATGTATTCAAATCTTGCTGGATTTTAAGCAGGGGATCTTTGGAATGTCTAAAACATTATTGGAAGTTGTTGCTACTGTTATTTTTAGTTCTGTTTCTCTTGTCTTAGCTACTGTAGCTCCTCGAGAATATACATCTTCTTTTGCAATTGACCTAGGCCTTTGCATCTAGAATTCTTGTTTTCTTTGGGTTTCCTTACATGCTGAATTGGGTTTTAAGTTGAAAATGTCTCTGAAAGTGAAACTTGGTGGAAGACCTTTGATTTGAAAGGCACTATATTAAACACTTTTTAAATATCTGCATGACATTACCAAGTATGGGGATCACGTAAATTCAAATCTGGTGTCTTGGTTTAGCAAAATTAAATATGAGACAGTACAATAAATGCGAGCTATTTCAAGCAATAACTTCACTAACTCAGGTGCTTTAGCTGATATGCATACAATAAAATGTTCTTGTATACTTCGTCTAGAAAGTAAAAACTAAAAAAAGTTTAAAATGAAATGGGGTATAAATTTTTTTTTTACATCTTTATTGTTTGAGAGTAATTACTTATAAACAGCAATGTTCTTATGTTAAAGATATTACCTAAAATATATATTCTGACCAATATTAGCTATCAGTTATCCAAGCTATTATGTAATATGGAAGATGTAGTTCTTGCCTGGTGGAATTTGCAAAAATCAAAATCAATGCTTTTGAAGGATTAACAAGATAATTCTTTTATTAAAAAAAAAATAAAATTATTTCATCTGTTTCTTCTATAACCTGTACATGCTGCCAGAAGTGGAAATTACCTACTAGTATCCCATATAACCTACCCAGGATAATGTATTCAATACAAAATTTTTTTAATATTATTGAGTTAAAATTGGTGTATAGGGAAGTCATGTTAAGTTTATGACCCTAGTCTAAAATATGCAAATTTGATCTTGTAAGTGTGTGTTATTGTTTGCTATTGATGTCAATTTCTTTGCTGTAGTTTTCTTTATTATACTCTACTTTTCTATTGAAGTATGTCAAGACTACATATTTAGACTTATGAATAGAGATATGTAGAGATGTCTTATCTTGTTTATTACTTGAACATCAGCTGACTGGAGTCTGTACAGCTTTTAAGACCTCTGTTTCCCGGGGCAAAAAATATTTCTTCTTGCCTGTAATTAATTTTTATGTTGCTATATGATTTTAGCTAAATATCAGCCACATGCTTCTATCCATATATGGAGGAATAGTTTCCACTTTTTAAGTTCTGTGATTTTATTTTATTGAGTATTCATCTTAAGCAAAAAAAAGTTGTAGAGGAG